TGGGGAATTCTGGGAGTTGAAGTCCACCCACCTTAAAGTTGCTGAGGTTGAGGAACCCTGTCTTAGAAGATCAGAACCTAAGTATAGCTGAAGGGGGAGTCACTTCCAAAGAGGAGGAGCTAGATGGGAAAAAGCTCAGAAACATGAGATGGCTATTCTGATGCAAAGAAAAGCTGGGCAGCCCTGGTTACATGTATGTGAACACCCAGAATCATGAATTGTAATCAGGTTATTCAAGAATTGGATGCTCCTGTCAGCACCAGCAATTTAAACTGGTAATGTTCCCGAAGACCTAGCCTGCATAAAGGACTGATGAAAAGAAAAAGGAGGGGTGACTCAGGAGAGGTCCGTAAACTACACAGACCATTCTAAACCCAACCAGAGGGTGGAGAGCAGCATCATGAAGGGATGTGTAATGAACTGCAAAAACTAGACAAAAAACTACTTCAGGTATGAACTAACTTCTTAGCCATTTCAGTAGTAAGAAATAAATGAATTCAGAAGATGTACGTTACAAATACTTGTAGTTTTATCAACTTTAAATAAAGTTTCCCATTAATTAGAACTCCCAAAATATTGTACCACAGAAGATGCCTGCAGCTGACAATCCTGAAAATAAAAGAAACAAGAAATGTCAGCCAGGTTGGAAAACGGTAGTTTGGTTTCCTCAGAATTGAGTTTAAGGCAGAAGGAACAGGTCCATTTAGAAATCCCAGTAAGGTAGTTGTAGAGGGAAGACTGCAGTGCATCATCCCAGACTGGAGCAGAAGAATACATTTGGATGTCGTTGGTATAAATATGATGGTTATTTTTAGTTACTGATGAAAAGGAACAGAAAACCTAGTGACAAAGGATACAAAGGGGGACCTAGAACTGAACCATGAGGAGCACCCTCAGATGAAGGGAAGGGCTGAGAGCAAAGACTTTCCTGCTTAACTTAAAATGTGTGATGGAAAACGTAAGACTGGAGCCATTGAGGAACTGCAAATCATTGATAAGCTAAGTCAGTCCCAGTCCAGTGGAATGATCTTCACCAAGCCATAATTGAAATGGGTTAATGAAATTATTTGCTGACAGATGGGGAAGGAATTGTGTGAGAACAACTTGTTTGATAATCTTAGGCAAAAATAAAAGAGCTGGCCAAAAATGAATAAATAGTCAGTCAGTCAGTCAGTCAGTCAGTCAGTCAGTCAGTCAGTCAGTCAGTCAGTCAGTCAGTCAGTCAGTCTGTCTGTCTGTCTGTCTGTCTGTCTGTCTGTCTGTCTGTCTGTCTGTCT